TCTCAGGCGCAGGGGGGTCAGACACATGTGTGAATATCTCAGGCGCAGGGGGCCAGACACATGTGTGAATATCTCAGGCGCAGGGGGTCAGACACATGTGTGAATATCTCAGGCGCAGGGGGGTCAGACACATGTGTGAATATCTCAGGCGCAGGGGGTCAGACACATGTGTGAATATCTCAGGCGCAGGGGGTCAGACACATGTGTGAATGTCTCAGGCGCAGGGGGTCAGACACATGTGTGAATGTCTCAGGCGCAGGGGGTCAGACACATGTGAGAATGTCTCAGGCGCAGGGGGTCAGACACATGTGAGAATGTCTCAGGCGCAGGGGGTCAGACTCATGTGTGAATGAGTTGGTGTGGATCTATTGCCAGATATCGGCCAATAGGCCTCCATCCGTTTATTTAACTACTAGCTGCACCCGGCCACGCGTTGCTGTGGCTCAGCAATGCATGTGCGTTGCTGAGCCACAGCAACCTTCCTGAACGTGGACAGCAGTAGCAGCAACGAAGACACCCCAATCGCAAGGCGCGGAAAACCCCAACCAACCCTCTACCGGGGCCGGAAACGTGATCCCTAGACCAAAAGACCTAGCCTCCACCTTCACACACATCAGAGGCCAAATGGAAGTTAACAACACGGGCGCTCGAGCCAAACAAACACATACTGCACGCACCCAATAATGGGGATCTCAATCCTTCAAGTGAATATCAGACACTACTTCAACAACAGATACCTCCTCATCCTGGAGGTAGCTAGATTCAACCAAGACATTATCCTACTCAATGAAACAGCGGCCAGAGAGGACCAGCACATCACTCTTCGGGAATATTCCACTAGGGAAATCAACAGGGGGAAGGCACAGTGGGGGTGACAATCCTAGTAAAAAGAGGTCTTTCCTACCGTCTTTCTTAAGTGCTCATAGAAAATGAGCACTTCCTTGCAATAGAATTTGCCACCACACACACGGCTCCCTAAACGTCTGTACAGCATACCTACCACCTAGACTTGCCTACCTCCTCTCTATCCCACTTAACAGGCAGCTCGACAGGAACCTCCCAACAATAATCGCAGGAGACCTGAATGCCCACCACCAGGCCTTATTCAACGCTCCTGCTAGAGCAGACCTCAAGGGCAGACAGCTCTTCAATTTAATGCAAAACAGGGACCTCTCCTTCCAAGGCCCCCACTTCAAGTCATTCTTTTCGGCCACCGAGAGGGACATCCCTGACATAATACTGACAAACAGAGACTGCGACCTGTTCCACTGCAGAGTAATCCCGAGGCAAGAACGTGGGGTTGGACCACATCCTAGTGGTCACCACCCTCCAAGCTACCCCCTTCCGGTTTGTGGCACCTCTCAGGCCAAGGCTGGAAACTATGGGAGCCTTCACACCTTCCTCGCTGACGATCAATCAATGAGTTCAACAACCTCCCCACCCAATCAATTGACCAAGGCGTAAACACCATCCAAAACCGCATCCAGCTCACAACTGAGGTCACCTGTGAAAGATCCACCACAAGGACTTACCGCAAATATAAACCGACCCGAGAAATCAGAGCTAAAATTAATGAGCATCAATGAGCCTGCCAAAGTCACTACCAAACTGGCCAGCCGCCCAACCCGTCCTCTCAAAATAACGTCGCTTTTCGCTCGCATGTGCGCTATGGCCGAAAACTTACGTAATTTGAAATGAAGTCGGCTTACGAAAGTGATGTACTGTCCTGTTTTCTGTTTGGGTCTTCCGGCTTGTACTCTGTTAGGTTAAGAGAGGACACTTTTGATTAACGTTTTTCATGACTTTTAAAACTTTAGGAGAATTTCCTGCCCTTCTAACCTATCAGAGGACCCTTAACTTAATATTTTGGAAGCAAATCCCAAATTTATTAAAAAAAAAAAACATTAATTTTCAAATTACGTCAATTTTCTGCCATACGGGCAAACGGCTAAATTCAGACGTAATTTATAAGAGGACAGGTTGCTGCCAGCATTGGCTTCCCTACAAACACTCAGAAGGGAAACCGTAGACCTAACGCTGACTCACAAGAACCACATCTGGGAACTCTTGAGACGAACCAACCAATACAAAAGGGAACCGGGAACCTTCTGGTGCAAGATCAGACAGCTCTTGGGATCAGTTAATCCCAGCCTCACTAACCTCGTACACACATTCCTAGACGAAGATGATGAGGAACAACAAGCAAAAATAGAAGACCCACAAGAATAGGCTGACCTCATGGGCGCAGAATGAAATAAGACACATAGCTTCAAACAGCAGAGCCTTCAACAACATTCACTTCAACCGGGTCAACCACAGAAAATGCCGCCTCCCTACTCAGCACCCCCAGATAGACTTAACAACCCTCCAAAACAACCACCCCCTAACAAAACCCATATCAATGGTAGAGATGAGAGGGGTCATTAAGAGCATCAGAGATATGGCCCCAGGACCATCGGGGATCAAAGCAAAGCAGATCAAACTACTTCCAGGCAATCCCTACAATCCAGGCAATCCTTCTGCAATCCCTACTCAACATATTCAACGTCATGCTGGCATCTGTCCACATTCCCGTAGCTTTCAAATCAGCCTAGATGATATTCATTCCCAAACCCAAGGAAAAAACCCCACCAGCCCGGGAACTACCGCCCAATCTCCTTTTTAGACACAATAGGAAAATGTTTTGAAAAACCATGTCCAACAGTCTGAACTATTATATGGAGTTCAACAATCTCTTTCCAGAAAAACAGTTTGGCTTTCGAGCACAACGGTCAATCCAGCACGCAATAAACATCATCTATGATGCTGTCAGCTCAATTCGCCAGCAAAAACAGGTAGCCCTGATTGCGACGAGAGACGTCCACAAGGCCTTCGACAGCCTATGGCACAATGACCTTGTGTATAAAATAGTTGACTTACCAGCCCAAAACTTTACCCTCCTCAGACTGATCAGAAATTTCCTTAAGAACAGACAAGTTGCTCCTAGTTTCAAGGCAATAGCGGCAGCAGTCTTCATCCAGACAGCTGGAGTTCCCCAAGGGTCGTGCCTGAGCCTGGTCCTCTTCAATATTTTCATAAATGACCTGCTCCAACCGGAGTGCAGGGACACCATCATCGTCCAATTTGCTGACGACGTAACACATGTAATAACATCCAACCCAAACAGCCAAACACGCATCTGTAACACATAAGGCGAATGTAGAACTGGCTAGGACTGCTAACTGGGAAAGAAAATGGAGGATCACCAGTAACCCCAGCAAGATCCAAATAAGCACCGTCGGCTGTATGGCCTACAGAGTCGAAGATGGATGAGGGGGAGTGGGAGGGGGCGGGAAGGATCAGGGGTGAACCCATAGCCATCTCTAACTCCAACACTGGGCTTGGATACAACTTCAACAGGCTACTTAACTCCACGCAGTACGTCTACCAGAAGACAGCGATGGCTAAGGGTTCTCTATCAAGGCTATTCCGCTTCAGGCAAGCTCCATGCCACGTCAAGCTCCACCTGTACAGACTCATCATAAGGCCTAGCCTTGAATACCCTTACGTCCCCCTGAACCTTTCCAACAAAACCAACATGCTGAAAATCCAACGGGTCCAAAACAAATCACTTCACTTCGCGACAGGCCCATCACTGACGGACAGGGTAAGAACAGACTAGATCCATGAGACCCCTCAACATGATGCCAATGAACACCAGGCTCAACTTCCTGGCCAGAAGGCAGCTGTACTGCATGAAGCACATGTATGCCCCAGACTCCGAGGAATTCCATAAAGAAGTAAACACCACCAGTGACTAAGTCCACAACGGGCTCACCATAGCCCAAACTACTTAGAACTTTTTGTTCCAAGTAGCGAATCTTAAACAACAACAACAAACAGTGACTATGAGATCCACGAACCACCACACAGAACCAGAAGAATCACTCTCCAACAAAAAATGATTAGACACATCCATGATCAAGCCTTTCCGAGATCTCAAATACTAAGTGGTCTGCCAGACGGCCCAGATGAGTGGCCCTTCCCGGACCCGATTTATACCTAATAAAAAATAATAAAAAATAAATAAAATAAAATAAAAATACAACAGCCCAGATGAGTGGCCCATCCCGGACTCGATTTATACCTAATAAAAAATAATACAAAATCAATAAAATAAAATAAAAATACAACCAATAACAAAAATCCATTTTTGTGCTACTAGAAAAGTAACTACCCTGTTGTTACTAAGATTAATCTCTTGTAGCCAACTCCAACGGCTTTGGGGTTTCCAGACACCTGCTAGGACACAAACACTAGCCACCCTGCCAATGTACTGACAACCCAACATATAACATACTCAAACAAACAACACACATGTTGACCAGACCACACACTAGAAGGTGAAGGGACGACGACGTTTCGGTCCATCATGGACCATTCTCAAGTCGATACCTAATAAATCGACTTGAGGATGGTCAAGGACGGACCGAAACGTCGTCGTCCCTTCACCTTCTAGTGTGTGGTCTGGTCAACATACTTTAGCCACGTTATTGTGACTCATCGCCTGCAAACAACACACACATATGCCAACCCATGGTGGACAGGCCACTGAACTTTCAAACTTCTATTCTCTCTACACCCGCATCCTCTTCCAGAATTTCACCTCCCCATCCCTTTACCTCCCCCATCCTTTCCAAACCCTTTATACATGAGAGCAAAAGCATACACAGGCATGTGATCAATGTACACGTCTACGGACTCGGGGCAGAACATTTCCCATCTACTGACTTCATAAAGGAGGTGTTTGGCATCGATCCTCCCTTCAAGGAGTGGAATGGTGCCGACCCTGAACCCACTGTAACTCTCCTGATAAAATTACCATTAATCCTACAAATTTTAATGCAGTTAGTCCCAAACGTCTGACTTCCAACCAACCATGTACAGATAAATATACATCCAGTTTTAGATACAGAAATCAGTGGGTCAAATAATTTACATGTAGTTCTCTCCAATAACAGCAGGCTGTGGAAGAACACAAGGCTAACCTCGACCCTGATAATCCACGAGACTTTATGGACATCTACATCACTGAAATTAACAAAACTGAACACAATCCAGAAACCACATTTTCAAGTAAGTTAATTTCTCCCTTTATCTCTAACATAGTGAAACAAAATGCATTTTTTGTACACCATATAATAACGTTATTTTTTATTTGCAGGTGATCAGTTATTAGCCTTGTGTTCTGACGTGTTCACTGCCGGTGTGGAGACCGGGTCAGCATCTGTGTCCTTTGCGGTGTTGCTGGCGGTCGTCCACCCACGCGTCATGCTCAACATCCAGCGTGAGCTGGACGCCGTCGTCGGTCACGACCGCCTTCCCTCCACAGATAACCGTACCAAGTGAGTCACCCCATTGCTTATATGCGTATCATCCCCCTCTCCCCACCCAATCTTCAATGGGAGACTGCGCCAAGTGAGACCCTGGGAACTATCGTATCCCTCAACCCTCAGGTCAGCTTTCCTAACTTTGTATCTTAATATATTTCAATCCCTAAAATATTGGTTTATGTACCGTAGAATCACCGACCAATATAAACGTAACCTGCTACAAGCTATCAAAGCCATGAACTATGCTGCTTTGGCGAGCTCCCAAAGCAGCTCGCCGGAAAACAGCCAAGTGTCCAACCACTTGGGCTAGACAGTAGAGCGACGGTCTCGCTTCATGCAGGTCGGCGTTCAATCCCCGATTCTCCAAGTGGATGGGCACCATTCCTTTCCTCCGACCCATCCCAAATCCTTATCCTGACCCCTTCCAAGTGCTATATAGTTGTAATTGCTTGGCGCTTTCCCCTGATAATTTCCTTCCTCGTCCGAAAGCAGCGACCAAACTCTCCAACCTGCTGAAAAAGGTTAACAACTCCCCCGGGAACAACCCAAGCATGACATGACCTCCTCCTGTTTACCAACACATGCCAGGCTGTCCCTTCAAGGAGACAAAACACTAGCTTCCTCAGTCATTAAAGTCATAAATAGTTTTCCCAGAGAGGATGCCAGATATACTCGTGCGAAAAACACGCACGATGAGTAATTGGGTAATAACAGCACATCCGAACCATCCAAATTCAGAGCAACAATAAGCAAGAAAATAGAAGACGAAAACACTGCAGGCGCAATAAGAGTCATCGTCTGCGAGGACACAGTTGTCAGCAAAGTTTGCCAATACAGCACAAGAGCTACGAGATAAACACCAACTCCAACTCCACGTGACGACAGTGTTCTATTAGTCAGTGTTACGAGAACAAAACTTCTGTGTGTGTGTGGATGAATCTGTCATCCATAAAGCAGCCTTGTCCATCCCAACAGAATTAACAGGTGAGTTCACAGGCTTAAGACCCAGCCACATTAAACAAATACTCAACCCTTCTTCTTCGTGATATGTGCAGTTTGCTTGAAGGTGTCTCCTCATAATGGCTGCACGACTGGTGAAGTTGAAAGATGCGGCACTCACAGTGGCGCACCAATGTTCATAATTTGGCAGAGGTCAAAAGTTATCGATATCTTCAATTTATGTGAAGATAATGAGAAAAATAAACATATGAGGGAAAATGAACTCCGGATGGCAAAGATGAGTTGTGTTAATGGTGGAATCAAAGTGTTGCTGTTTTATGAAAAGTGTGTGGTTTAGTCATGAGACTGAGTTTGTGAGTCGAAGTATGTTCGGGAGTTAGTCGCAATTCAGATAGGTTAGGGTAGACTATGGTTAGGTTATCTTGAGGTTATCTTGAGATGATTTTGGGGCTTTTTAGTGTCTCCGCGGCCCGGTCCTAGACCAGGCCTCCACCCCCAGGAAGCAGCCCGTGACAGCTGACTGACACCCAGGTACCTATATACTGCTAGGTAACAGGGGCATAGGGTGAAAGAAACTCTGCCCATTGTTTCTCGCCGGCGCCCGGGATCAAACCCGGGACCACAGGATCACAGTCCAGCGTGCTGTCCGCTCGGCCGACCGGCTCCCCATGGTAGGGCAAGTTAGAGTACATTAAGTAGCATGGAGTTAATGTGTATACGGTTAGGTAAGGTTTGGGTAGGTTAGTTCAAGATGGATTATGTTATGTTGTCGTATATCGGATTATTACATCTGGAATGTGATTGCATCGGTCTTCTTTGACGTGCTAGTAGTACACAGTGTTGAATATCTGTGAGTGGTTGGAGAATGTGTCGTGGGAGAGTGTTGTTTATGTTTTTTTTCAGTCAAAGTGCCAGGTCGCTGGGAGGTTTGTACAGCTGGAGATTTCTTACTCTTGGTGCAACCACAACCACTGAAATTTCTTACTCAGTGGTTGTGGTTTATGTCAAGTCAGCCTGAGGAGTGACTTTGGTAAGGCGCGCTAAGGAGTTATTTAGGATTTTCGTCGTGCATCAGTTCAAACGATTTGTATACAGCTATGGTAGCTATGTTAAGGGTTAAGGGGGTTGTCATTGTCTATAGATGTCGATGGATGTCTGTTGGGTCAGCCTCGAGGATGGGTTGGTTTACTTGTGTAAAGAAATTAGTTAGGAGTCGGTCTAACGTCTTTTCTAGTGCATTTTCAATGCGAGTGAGAAATGTTTCAATAAGATCGGGACTCAGTTGTATGTTTTTTAGGAGAGGATTGGACTCTGGGGGTGAAGGATTGTCAGTGAAAGATATATCAGGTACAAGCAAAAATTGTGGTTAAGTGAAAGGTTGCGGTTGATGATGGATTGAGTTAGGTTGTTTCAGTGCACTACTGTATTGCAGGTTGTTGGTAGGGAGAACTTTAGTTTTTGTTGCTATGTATGAAGGGCATTGTTTGAATGTAATGTTATGATCGCCACCACAGTTTGAGCAGCTGAGTATATCTGATGGACAGTCTTGTGTGTAATGGGAATCAGAATTAAATTTTCAACATTTAATGTCTTTGGTGCAGCCATTTGAAGTATGATTGAAACCTATGCATTTAAAGCACTGAGTGGGACGTAGTACGTACACCTCTAGTTTATGGAAGAGACCGTTAAATTAAACCCATTCATGGGGAAAGTAGTCTAGAAAAGTATATAGGACAGTGCCTGTATCAATCAGTTCTCCGTTTGTTCTACACATAAATTTTTGAACTGCGGAGATTGGAATGTCATCTGCCTGAAGTTGTGCCTTGATGTCATCTACACTGATGTCTACAACATGTCGGATTACATATTTCGCTAATCGGTCTCCTAGTGGTTTGTAGCATCTGACTTTGTACCCATAGATGTCAGTAACATCAGAAAGCTCTTGTGTAAAGAATTTAGAATCAGAATCCCAGAATCCCGCTGTGTTTGTGGTCCACTACGATGAAGTTCCTTTGTTTATTAAGTTTGATATTATGTACTTTGATCTTAAATATCTGTGGAATGGCATGATATAAGGTACTTTGTGCTCCTGTTATTTCCAAAAACACTCCTATCTTCGTCATCAAAGGCAATGATGAAAGTTTAAAAACCAGAACTCATCCTACCTTGGTTGAGCGGTGGATGTTGATACTCAGGCCGCTTGGGGCCGGGATGGTCTCACTGTCATGAGACCGGGATGGCCTTACTGTGATGTTTACTTTCCAGGAAATCTCCCTCTGGATCCTCCTCTAATGCCGGGTGACCATGGTGATATAAATGTGGGCCACAAATCAGTGGTTTCTTAAAACCCTCAAAGGTATCATGAAAGTTTGTAGGAGAGACATTGTGCGCACCTCCAGTCGTCGCCATGTCTCCCGCCAGGTTGGGTTGGACATGCGGACTGTGAGGCCGCGAAGGACGCTGCCACACCGGGACAATTCGCGGCTCCTAAAGGAGACTCGAAAGTGTGCCTAAAGGCTCGACCTGGAGGCCGTCAAGAAATCGAAGGTCGTTCCCACAACCTGGTCATGACTCTTCGTAAAAAAATTAAGTATTGCTTCCTCAGAGATTCGAACCTGCTCCGACAGGGCGTCAACCAGTGTTTAACACTGTACCATACCCACTCTGCCATCAACAACGCAGTTAAATACTGAGTTGGACCTGATCACCGCCAGGACACCAGCAGCCACTCCCATTCTATGTTCACTAATCTTCATGAAAAAAAGGATCTATCGGGGAAAAAAGCGCCAAGCCATTACGACTATATCGCACTCGTAAGGACTATGAGGATTAAGATTTAGGATAGGACGGATGGAAGGAATGGTGCTCAACCACTTGGACGGTCGGGAATTTGAACGCCGACCTTCATCAAGCGAAATCGTTGCTCTATTGTCCAACAACCCCACGGACCCCACGGCCCGGTCGTCGACCAGGCCTCCTCATTGCTGGACTAGTCAACCAGGCTGGTGGACATGGCTGCTCGCAGCCTGACGTATGAGTCACAGCCTGGTTGATCAGGCATCCTTTGGAGGTGTTTGTCAAGTTTTCTCTTGAACACTGTAGAGCCATCACACGCAACCTTGCCATAAGAAACTCTGGACACATGCAGCGCTTTACACACCGTAATTCCAAGAGGCGCAGGGCCAACACTCATAGCCGAAGCTCCTCCCCTGAGGAAAGGATAAAGGCAGGTGACCTCCATAATACTCCATCTGGAAGTGACTTCAGCACTACAGACGTGAACGTAGAAGACAGTAGCAGCAACGAAGACCCCCCCAATTGCACAGCAACGTGCGGAAATCCCCAAACAACCCTCTAACGGAGCCGAAAACGTGATCCCTGGCCCAAAAGACCTCTCCTTCACCTTCACACACATCAGAAGCCAAACCGAAGTTAACAACACTGGCACTCGAGCCAAACAAACACATACTGCACGCACCCAATAATGGGGATCACAATCATTCAAGTGAATATCAGACATTACTTCAACAACAGATGCCTCCTCACCCTGGAGGTAGCCAGATTTAACCCAGACATTATCCTTCTCATTGAAACAGCAACCAGACAGGACCAGGACATCTCTCTTAGGGGATTTTCCATTAAGGAAATCAGCAGGAGGATGTACAGTGGGGTGGCAATCCTAGTAAAAAGAGGGCTCTCCTACAGACCCATCCCCATAGAAGATGACCACTTCCTTGATAGAATTCGCCACCTCACACGGCCCCCTAATCGTCTGCACTGCTTATCTACCCCCTAAACTCGCCTACCTCCCTTCTATCCCACTCAACAGGCTGCTCGACAGCAACTTCCCAACTATAATTGTAGGAGACCTGGTCGCTCACCACCAGGTCTTATTCAACGCTCTTGCTAGAGCAGACCTCAAAGGCAGACAGCTCTTCAATCTAATGCAAAACAGGGACCTCTCCTTCCAAGGGCCCCACTTCAAGACATTCTTTGCTGGCAATGTGAGGGGCACCCCTGACATAGTGCTGACAAACAAAGATTGTGACCTGTTCCACTACAGAGTGACCCCA